GGAAGCTGAGAAGTGGCGACTTTGTAGTACAACTTGAGTACGCGGAGTAGCTGTGGAGCTGGAAGCTGAGAACTGGCGACTTTGTAGTACAACTTTAGTACGCGGAGTAGCTGGGGAGCTGGAGATGAGAACTGGTGACTTGGTAGGGCAACTGTAGAAACCCACACACTACCTCAACTCACTCGACTTAACACTTCACACTGCACACTTAACAGATAACTCGCACTCTGACTTCCTACGTGATGACAAATGCTTTCGGGCCACTCGTTGTCTAGTTTTGTAGGGAGGTGTGGGGAGCTTTCAAGGGATGAGCCACCCGCACCTTCCTGGAGTCGTAGAGGTGTCTTTTTTCTTCTTTGAAGGGTGAAGGGGCCTCGACACGGTTGGTCGGGAAGAACTCCCGCACCAAGTGGTGGGCTGGTCTCTGAGCCTTCTGAGCATACTGCTGGTCACCAGTTCGCCACCAGCATCCCAGGATCCGAGGGCACGTTCTTGTGTTTTGATTGATGGGTGATGGGCTGCAGACTGTAGACCCCTGATCCATGTCATGTGAAGAATGTTGGGAAACTGAAGGTGGCAGTCGTCGGCAGCCGTGTTGGCAAGACCGAGCTAGGACTTGCTAGCCAAGTCAAGTCCAGCCTCTCCAGGCAGACCAAAGCTAGCGAGATTTCAAGCTTCATGGATTTCATGCCTCGACCACGGGATTCTTGATCCGCGTGTTCTAGCCCGCCACGATTTTTCCTTCCGGGCGCACGCCTCCCCCCCCGACATTCGCTTTTCCGCCAGCAACATGGCGGGCCATAGCGCCTGTCGCGAACAGCAGCCAGGTTCATGCATTTGTTGGACCAGATGTTCAAAGAGAAGAGCATCAAGGTGCTGGCCCTGACAAAGCGTAGCCGCTTTTGGGGCTGGCTTGTGGAAAGCACCGCCATAAGCACCAGTCACCATTTGTGTTCGTAGGTGGTGCCCTCCGCAGCCGAGTTTATTGGAAGTTCTCATCTTCCTAATCTACCAAATCTACCAAGGCACAAGCGCTGGTCCATGGACACCCTCAAGACATTCATGGCTGATTCAGACCTGCTTCTATGGGTTTACGGGGGCACTCCATCAACACCGAGCAGAACGCGGTTGCGATTCCCAAGCGGCATCGCACACCCGGGCCATGGTTCACCGGGGGGGTGGGACCTGGGAGGGCCTGGCTCCGCGTGCGGAGCGAAGTGGCTGTGAGTCCAAAGCTCCCCGCTGACAGGTCGACATCCCTGAAACAGGAATCTGATTAATGGCGATGGCCTCCATCCTATAGCGGTGGCCTCCAACCTAAGAGCGATGGCCTCCAACCTAAGTGCGAGAGTCCAATCTGCACATGTTCAGCTTTAGGGTGGGTTTTGTGCCCTTCATCGATAAAGCTGACATGGTTCATCAGCTCCCACGCACGGTCGTCCTCACCGAAAGGGTCGGGTGTGGAGCCCAACATCGCGAGGCCCAGCTCAGCCGACGAGATGTGGAGCTGGAGGAGGTCTTTGTGGAGATGGCCGAGGTCATTCGCGAGATTGAGCAGGCCGACTTGCATCTCGGTTTTCCGAGGTCATCGCCCGGTGTTTTTTTTCTTTTTGCGATCGTGAGTTTTCTGAATAGTTCTGACACATGGATGCTTGTCGCAGGGCGCTGTGGAGCTTCAGGGGAGCTTGTGACAAAAGCTTGCGGGATTTTTGTGACCTTGACAAATTTCTCCTTGCTCGGTGGTTCTGGGTTACGTGCGCATTTTGCGGCAGTCCATTTTTGGCACACTCACAAGCTTCAGTCTCCCTTGAAACCCGCAAAACATGCAAAACTGCGCATTTCATCAAACAACGGTACACACGGCAAAAAAGTGCTCCAACCCTATAGGTTTGCCAAAAGAAGTGCTACAAAGGTTCAGGTTCAGGCCAGGCCGGCAAGGCATCCAGGTTGTTCATTGTGATTTGATGGGGCTATGTTGGGTTTGTCCCTGTAACCCGTAACAGTCAGCAAACAATATTGCTATTTTTGAACAAGGCCTGCAACCTAGCCATCATCATCCAGTGATACTGCCATTGGGATAGACCCAATCCCAGGGAGTACCCAAGGGCTATGAATGTGGCTTTGGGATGCTTTGGGTAAGCTTATATACCCGCTTTCCTCCAATCCTCACATCTTTATCAATGAATTTGGCAGCAACTCTTGAAGGGACCGGCCTCTCCGGGCGGAACTTCCGGGAGGACCGTGGTTTTTGCTCTCTGAATCTTCGCCTGAGGAAGGTGCAAGATGCAACTGCCTTCATGCAGAGCCCGCGCTTCTTGCAGAACTTCCGGGTGGAGGGTGAGAAGATGTTCCGGATCATTTAGACTGTGCCAGGTGTTCCGGATAGACCCCGGGCCGCTTCCGGTTCTCACTTGGGGTGATGGGATGGACCACAGTGGGCTCGCTTTCAGTTGAAAGCATTGAGCCGGCGCCCAGATCGGTGACATCAGCACCGGCGCCTTGGGCTATGAAGTGGCCGTTTTGCTGGCCAGATGTGCCTCTGTTTTATGCTATCCGCCACTCTTGGTTTTCAGGCTCTTCTTGCTGGGGACGAAAGCATCATGTTGAAGTCTTTCGTGTTGTTTTTTGTGGAGAGCCTGGGTTTGGGTGAGTGGCGTTTCCTTGTTCTCTTCAGATGCCAACACCTCATGGTGCCCATCAGCAGGGTGAGATGATTGGGCGAGGTGGGATGTGTCTGGTGAGGTTAGGATCAACAAGCGAGCAAAAAGGGGTTGCGGATGGGTTGCGGCGTTTTCTCTGTGCGGCTGATGCTTCGCCGTCGATGTCACACACGGTCCGCCGATGTCCGAGTGAGATGGATCATTCACTTTTTAAGCTCGGCATCTTGAAGTCTAGAAGAGACTAGTTAGCCTACTAGTTAGCCCATGTTGGCCCCCCAGGCGAAGAGGATCCTGCCATTTCCTGAGGTGGAACGCCCGGCGGCCAAACATGTGAACGGGAACGGCCAAAAGGCACTGGCGCGTGGCCAGTGCATCTCTGGACCATCCAATAGGTGTCCAATGGAGGTCCCTAAGTAGCGTAGGGTAGTCCATGAGACGCCCATTGGATCTCAAGCATGTCATACAATGTCCATCAATGAATGCAAGGGTCCATGCAGGCCTTGGGTGTGGAAGTCTCAAACGCGCCTATGAGCACCACCGTTGAACACCCAACCGGAACACATGCCGTGAGAACCCCTAGTGTGACAACAGGGTTTGGGGAAACATGGTTTCTCTTGATCAGGCCCCCAAACATGGATTGCAAAACCCTTTCAGGCCAAGGGCGGTGAATTATATCATCTAGATTCTACAACGGCACACTGTTTCCTGAATGGGGAACATAAGTGGGAACATAATATGCAGGGGGCCGACCCCAGAGGAGGATCTGCAGCAAAAGTGCTGTTCACTTTCGATCGGTCGGCTCAGATCTCACAGACCTGGCTCGGGGCCTCTCCTTGGTGCGCCCCATCACCGGAGTTGAATGCGTCAGGAACTGGTCGGAACCGGTCGATGGTGTGAGGGCAGGGGGTTGGCCACAAGATGGTGGCACTGCCAGGACCTTGAGGTTCTTAGGGTTCTTTGGGTGTAGTGAAGTGAAGTTTTCCTTCAGCAGCTATCACCCCCGGAGCTGGTTTGTTTCCGCACATTAACATCATTTAACATCAGCTATAGGCCCCGCTTCCAAGCCTGTTGCGCCTGCAAAGTGGGGCACGTCGCGAGGTACCGCCCAGTCAGAAAGAGCAACTGGCCAATGAATGTCTTGATCCTCAATTCGTGGCAGCGCTGCGGCAGGCCCCTTCTGGGCGCTATGTTTGATGAGCCTTCCCCGTCCCCACAACGCACCTAAAAGAGATTTAGCTCTGCCTGCGACAAAGATGGGAGTGGCAGTTACACCTGGAACAGTTCGCAAACTGGGTGTTGTCCACTTCCATGCATGTTGGAGGGCAAGGGCAAAAGCAAAAGAAACAAGAAAACAACACATATGTGTTTGGCAAGGCTAAGGGCAAGGGCATACGCAGTGTTGGGTCGTGCCCGCACGAGCCACCAGCTGCAGGCTTTTCACACTGCAGAAGACAGTGGCAAAGAGACTGTGCCATCCTCAACAACTGGGAGAACTGCACACTGAGCGCCATAATTACGGATTCATAGAATGGCATTGGCATGTATTATAATGAAGCAACCACAACCGGCCCAGTGCACATTGGCGTGGAAGAACTGCTTGAAACTAGCAATAATATGATATAATATGCAAAACCATCATATGGGTCGATGCTCGGGTTGTGCCAGTTTCATGGAATCCTACAGCTTGATGGCAAGGAATGGTGTCCCCGTGATGAACCAAAAGGGATAATCATGAAACGGAAGTCTCTAAGGTGGTGACGGCACCGGATGTGTTCACCGATTGGAACTCCAGGGTCGAAGAACTATGGTTGGTTGGGTGATCTTGGGTTGGTTATGTTGGTTCGATTTGGTTCGTGAATGGTGGTTGGGTTGGGTTTTGTACTGGTTTGTTTGTGTGATTTGAACAAGCACCCATGTCGGCCGATTGTTTTCGGCATGGATACCAAGGAGTTGCTGATGCTCTTTCGCATTGCAAAGGGAGTGCGTGTCTCAGAGGTTGTGATTCTGGGCTTCAACGATCGTTTGTTTGATGGTTAGGGCTGGGGTTTGAAGGTGGTTTTGTAGGCATTTTTAGTCCAACTGAGTTAGTAACTGGTCCAGAGGAGATTTGCCCAGCTGCTCAGATTGAGGTCTTCATGCTGGGAAACCACAACCTGACAAAGCGCTACCTCAGGCAGCCTTAGAGTGTTGGCGCAAGACTGTAGTCTGTTGCCGGCTGGTTTTTTGGCCCAAGTATCCTTTCCACACAGCGCACGCCTGGCGCCAGGCAGGATATGTTCGAGGACACCATGGGCATGCTGGAATATGATGAGGGTCGAATTCTGAGCTTTGTCACACAGCTTGCCATCTTCGTCATCAGATCATGCGTTTGGGTCCTCGAACATGCAGGAACCTCTCAATGTCATCTGTCACAGAAGAACCAAGCGCCTCCACTGAGACAGTACTTTTGCATTTGCACATTGGGCACTCCCCAGGCACCAGTAGCATATACAGTAAATATAAGCCAAGCGTGTTCTTTTTGGAACTTCTTATGTGAATCGAACAGCTTCGTGTCCTTGGATCTCCAGGGCCGATTGGACCATGCATGTGGAGGTTCCAGTTCCGCATCGTGTTTGTCCGAAGGTGTTCCACCAGAGAAGCGAGTCCCGCACAGACAAGTTCTGAAGGTGAGAACCTTAGACCCGCTGATCACCGGTCGTCGGGTTCAGACTGCTTTTCTGCCTGGCGCCACTGAGACGGCACAGTCGGTGGCACAGTCGGTTTCAACATGTTTCAACATGTTTATAGACAGGAGGCTTCTAACTGCTCATATACTCGGACTCCCACCTTTTGAATGTGTTTCGGCTAAATTTTTCTCCTGAAAGCCTCGGGGCTTTACATCCCATTCTGACTTTTGACCCTGGCCGTCCGCGCTTTTCGTCGTGAGGTGGCCGTCCGCTTCAAGCAGGCGGTCCGCGGCATCCAGCGAGTCTTCTGAGACGGCATCCATATGAAGCTGGAAAGAAATAGCCCTAGCGTTCTTGTGTCGCACATTTCAATTCAAGCAGGGATCAATACAAAGAACATAATTCATTCAATGGCAACTGGTATATACCCCAGTCAATTAACCCTTTCAGGATTAATTTTGCATATTGACTCGATTAATCTTCAAAATTAACTTCTGATTATCAGTATTTTTGTCTTCATTGATTTGCACCCGTTACAAGGGGTCAATGAATTTGCCTACCCCACCACAATGAACAAATCAATGAATTGAGCAGGGCCCCGTGTTGCCGTCAGGTGTTGTCGTTCCAGGATGCCGAAATGTCGTGAGCTCATGGCGTAAAGCACGGATTGCACGTGATTACAATGATTTATAGGTTGCAACCATTGCGACCTATGGTGCTGCTTATGCGACCTACGTCTCAGTCGACCATTTTGGGGTCAAAACCACGTCCCTGTTCGGATACCTCCATCACGACGTGTCGTGTCGACTTACCCATCGCGTCGCGGTCCCCCGTGGCGTCTCGGAGCCCTTCGACGTGGGGGGGGGGTCCTGAGAGGTGCTCGTACGAAGGTGTCCAATGTACCGGGCTCGGTGTCGTGATCGATGTGATGTGATGTCGTACCTGGACACGACAGGGAGCTGCGTGCATGTTGGTTGATGTTCTTTGAGGTTGAAGTTAGTGCACTTGAATTACCGCTTGTTGGGAGCTCAGTGGCCACAATCACCTGAGAGAACATCACAAGACCATCAAGTGTTCTGCACCTTTGACCGTATCAGACCATCAAAACGGCAGCCCTGTTGGCTGTGCGAAAGCGCTCCAAATCACCGGCCCTCAATGTGCATGTCCTGCTGTGTTCTATGTCTTTTCGCTGACGTTGATGTTTCGAGTTTCGGTCCGGATGCCAGGCAGTACGTGAAGGACTATGTGTGAGGGCACCCGGGAGCGGTTGCGAAGATGTTCTCGGTTGCGACCCGACAGACTGGAGCAGTTGTTGGAGTGTGCTGCGTCGAAAGGCTGGTTAAACATGATGATGGTTGTGTCGAACTTGAGCTTGAGGGAATTCTGATAGATCTTCTCAAAATCCTGTGCCTCCTTCAACTTGCCAGTGGCCGTGGAGAGAGCACCACTCCCAAACAGTTTCCTCAAACTCGCAAGTATTTTTCCCCCTTCCCCAAAGGCTGAAAGGATGCCCACCTCACAAGAAAATGACAAACATTACATAGATTGATTACATAGTATTTTGTTTTGCGGTCACAACCATTTCAACCAAGCAGACCCCGTCGCGCGCTCGTTCTGCTGTGCGTCGAACGTTTTCCAGCTTGGCTCGCTGGCTGGATGATGCTGCCTTTGCCTCCCTGTCCGGCCGCTGAGAGAGTGTTGCCTTGGCGTTCTGCAGTGGGAGACGGCGCAAAAGGCAGTCGAACAATGTCGAACACAATTTCCTTTTAAGGACGGTGCAAAACGGTGTTAAAGAGTTTTTTTGAGGGGTAGGCACGGTGTTTATCATTGATGTCGTTGTTTTTCCTCAATTGAAGACATGTGTGGGTGTCACTATAAAATCATATAAAAACAACAAAATAGCCTAAGAAATGAATCGCCGTTTGTGATTTCAACGTCAATGCTGCTGCCAACCTGGCAAGTACTACTGACCCAAGCGAATCTGGTCAAAGGGGCGTTGCTTGCACAAGTGGTCACTCTTTTCAGCGCTCAGCGGACTATGGACAAGTCATAAATATTACAATTCTGTATGAGTTTCTGTATGTTTAAAGCAGCATATAAAGGCTAAAGATGGCCAGCGTAAAGCACCTGCAGTTTCCTGGCTGTCGGTGCTGAACCAACGTGTGCCACATATAGCATTGACAAGGCCCGAACCATCGCTCGATCGCTCGATCGGCTGACTGAGGACCCAGCTGGTGAGCGACTCAGACGACGCCCCAAAAGGCGACTCCCAGGAGCGTGGGGATGTGAATATGGCTCCCTATATAGCTCTTTGATAATCAAGTTCACCCTTGGAGATCTTCAATAGTGCCTCGATATGCCTCTTTCGATCATGCCCCTCAGTACCTCTTGAATGTCTGTAATCGAGGCACTTGGGGACGGTGCTGGAAATTGCATGT